CACAACTTCCAGTACAGCTCCCTGGATTCGGTGTTAGTACAAATGCTATTACGGGTAGGCGTCGTGTAGGCTCGTCTCCATCCCATTAAGTTTAGCAGTTATTGTGTCTTTTGGTCGCAACTTCCCAACTTGTGATTGAAGACTAAACCGTCCGGCTTGTCAGCAGACTGAATAACTTGCACTTGAGATATGGCGCTACTCATCCTTTAGCTAAAAAGTCACATCACAAGTTAACTGGTTCCGCGAGTGACGAAATCCCAAGTGGTTTCGTTTTCACTTAGCCGGGAGGTTACGAGTTTCGTGAGGAGGAAACAGCTGTTCCGTGCTTCTCGACTTTTTAGTTGGTCCCTCTTTCAGGACGGAATCTCCACTGAGCCTTTCTTTGAAAAAAACCACACCATGCGGAGGAAGGAACCCTGTAAAGCGGTCCTTCCGAAGAGTGAGTGTTCTCGAAACCTGGCAAAATACTTCGTTACACCGTGGTGTTCGCCACACAAAAGCATTTTCGATTTTTCTTCCCCTCTGGCTCTCCACAGTGGACGATTTGTGGCATGGAACGCCCAGTCGGGCGATGAGAGGTCAAACAGAAGAAAGACCTACAAATCTAAGGTTAGAAAACCTCCGCCGAAACAGAACTGAAAATCAGAATGAAGTGGCATTGGAATTTAGACAAACCTCTGTATAGTCACACAGCATTCGAATTTCGAGCCTCAGGGCGTTCACAACCATAGCCAGCGAGGATGCGATGAAAAGGAGGAAGTGGCTGTAGTTCTCGCCACCAATGCAGCAGTTTGTCCAAACACAATGATGTTCAAAACGAAAAACACAGTGGTCGCAACGTGCTGCATGGGATTGAATGAAAAGCAATGTTGAAACAGCCTGGTCAATTCAACGAAAACTGTGCACCGAACGAGGTGAATTTCCAGCCTATCGACGCCACAAAACTGTATTTGAAACCAATAAGGTATCGAAAGACAAAAAGAGATCAGAATCGAGAGGATTCATCGAGCGAGGGGCTTATTCTGCAGGTGATTCACCAGGTCGGGGAGAACAGAATTACGGCGAATTTCAGCATCGGCGGACATCTGAACTGAGATTAATTTCTGGATGTAGAAATGGCTACAGACAAAAAGGCTCAGAGTGAATGTTGGGGATTCAGAAAGCGTTACTGTGTCATCTGAGCAGGAGTCAACAAGAACAGTCCATTGCATATCCAAACGCCTGTCAGTAAATGTGCAGTATGGCGAAATTTGTTTATCAAACGGTCTCGGGAATACAACTGGGGAACGGTTCATTTAGTTTCGGACGCAACTATAGATCTCATTAGGTTTTGTGGCACAGATAACTCAACCGAACTCGGAGTGAAGTTTGCTTAAGATCACTTCAGAATGAGAGAACTAGCCGAGGATTCTGAACAGCGTGACTCGCGTGCACCCTACTTTGGGGTTTCTGAGAGGGAAACTTCGTTGACAGCAAGTAATGGAAGGTCACAGAGCCTGCCTTGACAACGCCTGTCTAAAATCACTGAGGGACATTGAAAGATAGACGTGGCTGTCAAGATCGTTTAAAGGGTTTACTCACGAGTTCGTTTGAATTTTCAAGTATGCTTCTAGAGTACAGTGGCCAGAATCAAAATATCGACCAGACCACTGTCTCTGAATGAGAACGGTCAAGAGTGGGCAAGAAATGGATATCAAAGGAAAGGGAAGGAGAGAGTGTGTATACCCTGCAAGTATCATAATATATTTCATCCACATAGGCCCGTAAAGTTTGTCGAAGGGGTCGCAGCATCACAGCTCAATCAACGCTACCAAATCCGTTTATGTCCTCAAAAGACAACAGCATTGTTATTACTTTAAAAGGAAGAGTTAATCGGTTAAAGCAAATGAGGAACAGTGTTCAGCGTGAATTTCAACTTTGAACAGTCTTCGGAAAGTAGGCTAGTTTACATTCCACAAACAAGCGAACTTTGTCGACCAGTTTCAAAGGATCAGTGATGCGAGCCTGAGTGACATTATCCTCGCCAGCATCCGACTACCACTGGTTTCCCGAAAAAAGCCATTGAGCGAGCGGTTTTCAGCAACCTTATGAGTAGCGTTTTAAGCGCTTCAAGTCTAGGAAGGTCACTCGTTTAATTCTGGTTTCAGTGCTTATCTTAAACAGCACGGGTGAACAGAGATCAGGCCTGATAGCTTTCCTAGCCTTGAGTTGTTTAAGTTGATTGTGAACCAGATCATTCACCAAACTGACCACTTGGTCGTACTCTTGATGGAGACCAAACAAATTGGGGGCACTAATAAATTCGAGATCCAGCTTGCTAAAATCAGTAGCCTGTGACGAGTGGCAACACGCGGCCGGTTTGGAGAATTTCACATATTGTGAAAGTTTTTGCTTCCATCCGTCGAATCAGCCTCTATGGGACCGTCAACCTCCGGAAGTACCTAATAAAGTGAGGCTGAAAGCTACGGGCTCTTAGGCGAACTGCACCCACTATAGATCGAAACGACACTTGTTCTCCAGGCATCGAAAGATGATGATAGTAGAAGAGATACAAGTTAGCGCCAAACGTTGTATTCCTCATTTTGTTGGGTTTTCGTTTGTTCCAACATCCAAGAAACAGTCATACTGATTTCCTAAATGTACCTTGAGAGAAGGGACAAGACACAATTGGACCTAGTTCAGCGCCCTTCTGGTGCCTAGCTGCCATGCCACCCGAAGGAAGCACGAGGGCTGGGATATGCCCAGGTTGCCCAAGCCTAGACAGGGGAAATCGAAAGGCAGAGGTCGGGTTCGAATCACGGACCTTCCGGTCAGTCGATTCACGCTCTAACCACTGAGCCATCTCTCCCCAAAGGGGCTGAGTAGGACATCTTTGTATGTGGGAAACATGGTAGCATTGTGTATAGCCAGCGTATGGCCGGATTTACGGATCTGTGACGATCAGGAAGTGATGATGGGGCGAGATGGCTCAAGTAGTTAGAGGGCGAATTTACTGACCGGAAGGTCCGTGGTTCGAACCCGACCTCTGCCCCTCGACTTCCCCTGTCTAGGCTTGGGTAACCTGGCAGTATCCCAGCCCCCGTGTCTCCTTCGGGTGGTATGGCAGTTAGGCACCGAAAGGGTGCCACAGCTGAACGATCACTCAGTCCAATTTGAGGAAAACCACATTTTTTCATGAGCATATGAGTGGTGCAAGTGAGAGTGAAGCGGAAAAAAGGAGCTAAGATCAGGTTTGAGTTTGAAGAAAAAAACTGTGGCGGCTGTGACCCTCATGCCTCGTTCGTGTGGCATGCCAGGAAGTAATGACCAGGTTTGCATTCTAATGCGAAACAGCTTGTGGTTTCAGGAGAAAATTCAAACAGCAACGTGAAGGACAAGACCATTTTTGTGTAAAGTAAGTGATGACTTCATCCCTTTCTATTGCGAAAGATGACAAGACGGGCAACTCGGAGTGGGTCCCAATCATCCGAGTGCCCAAAGCACAAGACAGCGAGGTTTCTCACGTAATACAACTCGTTTTTTGGGTATAAAATTGCAACAGTCCAGGGAAAGTTCTCCATCTTCCTAAGTAATGGACGAACGTTACCTGACATCATTCATCAATTTTTCAACCCATTAACTGAATTTTTCTGAGGAAGTGATGACCAGGTTTGCATTCTAATGCGAAACAGCTTGTGGTTTCAGGAGAAAATTCAAACAGCAACGTGAAGGACAAGACCATTTTTGTGTAAAGTAAGTGATGACTTCATCCCTTTCTATTGCGAAAGATGACAAGACGGGCAACTCGGAGTGGGTCCCAATCATCCGAGTGCCCAAAGCACAAGACAGCGAGGTTTCTCACGTAATACAACTCGTTTTTTGGGTATAAAATTGCAACAGTCCAGGGAAAGTTCTCCATCTTCCTAAGTAATGGACGAACGTTACCTGACATCATTCATCAATTTTTCAACCCATTAACTGAATTTTTCTGAAAAGCTCTGCTTCCTATCTTTTACACTACTTTCGAATGACATGACTGTGAGAATATTGTCAACTGATCAGACCATCCAAAGGGCAAAATATGACGAAATCGTTCTCACGGGTTACTGGGCATGATTTTGAGAACGGTTATTTGCGCATACACTTCCTGTTCAGCACAAATTCCTTTGAACCTGTCGGTAGTTTTCTGGAATAAAATGTTAGAATTAAATCACGGGCAATCCTAAAGTCTCAGTAGTAGGTAAGCTCGATCACAATGTGGAGAGAGTGCAGTAAACGTTCAATTCATCACAATTGTGCATCAAATGGATCCTGAGAAATCAAGATGCACTAATGCCTTCTAAAGATCTAGAAGCTAACACTGGCTTTTCCCACCATTCAGTTAAGGGAAATAAGTGAAATCCACGAGAGCTACATTGAGATGCTCTACCAGATCACTTTTAAATAAAGGCTGAGCTTTATCTCTCGACATGATACTACTTATAAGTAGAATGCCATGAGGACATCATGAAACGGGAATTCAGCTAAGATTCAGTCGAACCTCATGTAGACACGAATTTAATTGCAAATGAGTGGGTTTCTCAAAAGCCTAAGCTTGTCCATTTTAAAATAGAACAGAGGAGAACCATAAGAGAAGCAAATCGTTCTCCGTTAGGAGAGGTTCATGACAGACAGAATAGTTTTAATCTGGACCAATGAGCCAATCAGAAGACGGCATTCAAGCTGTTCAAAAAGCGCCGAAAAAAGACCAGCGTTAGACAGTGCAAACCAGAGGGTTTGAAAAACCACATTACTTACAACAGTGTCGTGCCCGAGCCGGGATAATGTGTGGGCAGGTCATACACTCTTTTGGTGAATAAATCACATGGTCAAACGCGTAGATTTGTGAGTAGACAGGGAGGTTTCGCGGGCTGATTACACCTGAGACAAAAAACGAAAAACACGAGAAATTGTCATCAGGACAAACAACAAAGGTTGTTTTTTTCATGATGCGCAGCAGTTTACCTCAGGTTAGCTACCTTATTTTGCTGGAAATATCTCCCTGACGCCATAAACGAGAGATTCAGCTGGGCCCCCGAGTTTCCGTCAGCTTTATGTTCTACTTGAACCCAAACTGGATTGTTTTTGAGAAATACACTCATTTGCAAGTCAATTTGGTTTTCACGAGAGACTCAACTGAATCTCTCGTTTATGATACTCTGCAACTTAATGTGCTGCACACAGGCCACCTCATGATTCAGTTGGCACTATATTCGAGATATTGCAGTGTATTTTCATAAAGGAAACTACTCATAAGGTTGCTGAAAACTCTTCGACAGCCCACGACCGGTTTCGCCCCTACTAAAACCAATTTACAAACCCGGTGGTGATATGATATCGTTCAGATGTAGCACCAATTCGATGCGTGACTGCCATGACACCCGACGGAAGCGCGAGGGCTAGATGGCCCGAGCCTAAACAGAACAAGTTGAAATACTGAGCTTGGGTCTAACCACAGACCTTCCTGTTAATAAGTTCGCGCTTTAGTACTGAGCTTATTGTCACCTCGGTAATAGTGCCTTACTCCTAACTCCGCGCGTGTTTCGTGCAGCTGGATCAGTAGCACGACAGGACGTCATATTACTACATGTATACACGTAATGTAATACTCATATGTTTGCTGAAAAGTCTTCGACAGCCCACAGCCGGTTTTCGCTCTTCTTGGGGCGCATCAGGCAAGTACAGTCCCAGAATTTCCGTCAACCCTGTTCTAGTTGTAACCAAATTGCACGAAATTAGCGAACTACACGCATTTGCAAACAACGTTTGGTTTTGCGAGAGACTCGCCTGGAACCCAGCTGAATCTCTCGTTTATGATATCTCGAATATCGTACCAACTGAAACATGGGGCGGCCCGGTGTAGTATATTCAGTTGCCTGGGAACATCACAAGCGAGAGATTCAGCTGGGTTCCAGGTGAGTCTCTCGCAAAACCAGATTTTGTTTGCGAATGAGAATAGTTCGCTCATATTGGTACATTTATTCCACCGAGTTTCGTCCCTCTGTTACTCTACTCTACTGTTACCATTTCATGAGTACTGGTAAACAGTCTATAAGTAAGCTTCAAGTACATTCGACTCTGACTGGCTCACGAGCATGAAAGATTAAGGTAGGACTGGATAAACTAAATGAGGTGAACAAACGAAGGTAAGCTGACATAGAGTCTTGAAGATGACAAGGGCGGATGTAGTTTTGTACCTCTAGTATATTTGGGCGCATGTTTTGTTAATAGATGGGTTTCGGTGTATGTTCACCTGAGATCTCACTCTCCACCTCACCTTTTTCCACCACACTTCAGTTAGTCTGGTACGATAGTCGTGTACCTACCGTCTAGCTGGCGCTGATTGACAGAAAAGACTGAGTGATAGGAACAAAACAAAATGCTAGTGAACCAAACGGAAATCAGGAAGCAGGAAGATTGTGGTGCAACACAGGAACTAGATAACTACGGACATTGATAGTGACTCGTATGAATTGTCTTACATACGCTTGAACTGAGGTGCAAGTAGCTGTCTTACTATCCGAAAATACCAAGTGTTGGAAACCTGTGAAGACACAGAACTCATCTAGAGAAGTAACAAATCCTTTTTCAAGCACACAGATGGGTTGACGAACATGTTTTCGGCAAGTTCTTTTCAAGTCATACAATTGCAAAGGTTAAGAGAGCAGCATTTAACATATTTGAATGAGCATGATGTAAATAGACAGTTAATCGAGTGAGACGACATTGGCTACCTATCAAAGAGCAATTAGTTCAGGTCACCAATAGGGTGACTTGAGTTAGTCAGCACGGGAGGTGCTATAGTTGTGTTCAGTACCAAGGTGCATGTGTGAGGGGAGGTCCGGGCAATACACTAACTTTAGCAGCTTCGTGCCACTAAAGTAGAAACGGAACCCGATACATAGCCCAACTGACAGAGTGAAGAAAATATGCTCTGATGAAGCGCTGGAACAAGAATTCCGAACTCTCACCAACGCCCTGAGAGACAGTGGATCCCCCGACAAGTTTATTACAAACATTTGAACAAGGAGGAAGCCAACACCATCACAGCCACAGTTGGAAGGAAACCAGTTAACATTAGCCTCCCGTTTAAGGGAGATATACCAACCGACCTACTGAACAGAAGACTTTTACTAGGTCGAACAAAGTTTTCCCAGTTGCAACACTTCGAATCGTTTGCGCTCCTTTGAGTTCAAAGATAGAGTGCCTATCCACGCCCAAAATATGTTGGTATACTCATTCTCTTGCCGCTATGCAGCGGAATACATCGAACGCACGACTAGGCAACTCGGCCAAAGAATGAAGGAACAAAATCCACCCTGGCTAGCTTCTGGAACTAGGAGGACGATAACCAGTTCGGTAGTACAACATTTAGCTGACACTGCACACTATACCCAGCCAAACCTTCCGCGTTGTTTACAAGGCGCCGGCTAACCAACCCAGATCAGTACAGCAACGCACAATTGCAGTGCATACGACATCGCGACCCGATCCTTCGTCGGTAAAAACGCTTTGTTCGTGTATTGTACTTACTATGGTCCGACTCACCTCCCCTCACACACGCACCTTGATCCTGAACACACAACTACAGCACCTCCCGTGCTGACAAGCTCAAGTCATCCTATTGGTGACCTGAACTAATTGCTCTTTGATAGGTAGCCAGTGTCGTCGCTCACTCGATTTCCTGTCCATTTACATCATGCTCATTCAAATATGTTAAATGCTGCTCTCTTAACCTTTGCAATTGTATGACTTGAAAAGAACTTGCCGAAAACATGTTTGTCAACCCATGTGTGTGCTTAGTATAAATGGGAATTTTCGGAATATTAAGTACCCTTTTCAAACGTTTTCAATAGAAGGCTTGCTGGGAGGCTATTACAGTTCATACATGATCCACCGTACAGCCTTGTACTGTAAGTATCATGGTTGTAACTTAGCTTGTTCCAGTATGATAAGTCAATCAGATTCATTTCCAGTATTCCATTGAACAGGCTTATCGATCAATGGCCAATCGTGTCGTACAATGTATGCTTGCCCATGGATATGTGCTTTCTAACGATAACGGCAAGTCAGAGCGGGCGGAGCTCAATAACCATGGGGTGGTTACCGAAACAAAATGATGTACAACTTGTGATGCAATGATGTACCGAAGAACAAAGCGTTACCAAAATGAAGACCAATAGTTTCCGCGGCGTAAACAGTGGACTCGACCCGTCAGTCTTGAGTAGTGCCATTTTTGGATGTAACGGGTTTAAAAGCGGATTGAGAACAGCTCAAAGGAGACTGGATGTTTGCCACTCGGCTAAGCAATGGAAACCTTGAAACACAAGACTTTCCCGCGTTCCCTAGAAGTTCCCGCGTTCTCAGAGTGATTATCATGATAGGATAACAAGATGGTGTCTGAAAATATTCACAGTGGAATAGAAGATGAAACTGTGATTTTCGATTACGAATAAAACTCACCAGGATCCATCATACACACCATCGTATAACAAAATCCGTTGCAGAATAACAAGGCCAGCACCAAAAACAAATGGTTCTCACGATCAGAATAGCGATAAAGAACCGGAATGACTTGCGAGAACAGGATGCAATGACCACTGAGAACCACCAGGATGTAGATGATTTGGTAAAGGCAGTGTCTGTAATAAGGTAAGAAGGGATTGCGACTGTCACACAGGTTGGTTTATGCACACCTGTGTCACAGCATACAACATGAACACTGCAGCGAAATTTTTGTGGGCATACAGAGGGAAACTAAGAACCTCGTATCAACCGAACCAGGCCTGTGCATCCCCGTAAAATTGTGATGGAGCTCGTACGAGACTTGCACGGCACATCATGTGTAGCCAGATTCTGGAAAGCTCAGTCATATAAAGTTTCGTGTTCCTGCTGGAGTCCACTGGGTGAACCCACACGGGTCGATATCTAACCGATGAAGGCCTCACGAGTGAGCCTGCTTCAGGTTTCTTGTATACATTTAAAACGATACTGGGAACTTTTGGGATTTGCCAACCTTCAATTAACTAGGAATCTCATTTCGACGTCGTGTCTCTCCTTGTATTCGTTTAATTAAAGAAGCTTCACAGATGCTGTGGTTGTACTGTTCTGCATTAAAAATGACTGTCGACTCTGAAGTTGAAATTTCACGTGGTCAGACAGTAGCTGGGTTTTAGAGTTTATGGTCTGTAATCGATGTGTCTACTTCACTTGCCTTTATATTTCTTTGCTTCTTCCAAAAATAGAGTGAGGTGGATTGGAGTAGAGTAGAGTATAGTAGAGTGGAGTGGAGTGGGTGGGGTGGAGTGGAGTAGAGTGGAGTGGAGTGGAGTGGAGTGGAGTGGAGTGGAGTGGAGTGGAGTGGAGTGGAGTGGAGTGGAGTGGAGTGGAGTGGAAGTGGAGTGAAGTGAGTGGAGTGGAGTGGAGTGGAGTGGAGTGGAGTGGAGTGGAGTGGAGTGGAGTGGAGTGGAGTGGAGTGGAGTGGAGTGGAGTGGAGTGGAGTGGGAGTGAAGCATAGATTCTTCTTCTGTGAGAACCTGTGGGTATCCTTAATTATACATGAGCTTTCTCGTCCCTGCTTGTCTGCCACTAGCATAAAGAAGCGAGTAAGTACCTTAGAAAAACTAGCATCTCTCATTTAGAGCATACGTATTATCTGGGAACAAAGACGGTACCTTTCGAACAGTAGCCAATGAGCCAGTCTGTTGAGCGAATTCCGTAATGGTAAAGGGATGATCACTCGAACGAGACGCCAAACGAGGTTGACCAGTACCGCCGCTACTCGTGAAATGCCATGAATTTGGTAGATAACCCATAGGCAAACGCAGAAGAGCAAGTACAACATCGCATTGGTAAGAAAGTCCATGATTTGAATTCAAACGGGACAGCAGCTACGCTGAGAAACAATACGTGGAACCTGTGTAAGGCAGAAAGGGCTCACTTAGTATGGATGGAGTGGAGGCTCCTTCTGGAACATGCGTCTAACAGCTGTTTTGTTTGCATCATGCAAAGGCAAGCAAAATTTACTTGAAAACCATAAGTCGATTCAAAGAGGTAAATTGTTCGTCCTCACTATCCTTAGTCGGCTAGTTAGGCAAATACATGAGTGCAAGCAAATTGACTGCTATGGCAAACGCACAGGGAAAGCACAGTCCTGTTCCAATTCACAGATAAAAAGTCGGACCTCTGTCCGGACACGACCAATTATCCCTCGTTTGGCTCCAGTTGACCATGTTTCCTGGTGAAAACAGCAGGCGGGCACGCATCTACACGTCAGATGATGCAGCTCCACTGACCAAAGGGTTTGTAAAACAATGTAAAACAATTACCTATTTCGAGCGAATTGATCGGCAACCAGTAGATGCATCAACAGTCAGTTACCACCGTTTTCACGTTTGAAGTTTAAGTTACTCAACTACAGGAATATTAAGCTTCGATATGGAAACGTACTACCAATTATTCATGATTTAGCATGTTGCCAATCCACTGGATTCCAAAAAGCCGCGCATTTAACAGAGTTTTCCGACTACCCAATTTGAACATCACCAATTATTATGATTTAGCATGTTGCCAAACCAACGGATTCCAAAAAGCCGCGCATTTAACAGAGTTTTCCGACTACCCAATTTGAACATCACATTTTGGGGTGAATGTTCACATGTAGGCACCTGCGATCGAAGCAAGCATCATTGTATGATACACAATCATGGACCTGTCCTCGAGCATGACAGGTGCGTACAAACATGGGCTCGATCCCCTGTCCATCGGGCACGACATACCGATGCATCAGAGTCAGGCGATCACGAATGCGCGCTCATCCGATCGCTTTTGGGAATGTGGTATAAACAAACCAACTGAGTTGGGAAAGGTCTAATGCCGATTTGGCAGTGACCTAGCACGGACAAGCATAAGTGCTAAAACTTACACAAGCAGGATAGCTAGGTGTGACCCTCATATGTATTCAGGACGCGACGGCGAACGGCCAGCTTTTCCTATTGTAGCGGCTCAAAGGATAGTTTTCTTTGAAACTAGAAGCACCAAACACCTTCCCAATTACAGTTCCAGGAGGACTACTGGCTAAACTCTTATATGCACCATGAGAACCATATACATATATATATATATATATATATAATGTATATATATAGGCGAACCTCATGGTTGTACGTCAGTGAAGCACCAGTNATTATATATATTATATGCATTCATGAGAACCTTTAGTGCCTTGACTCAAAACAAGAAACATTAGCAACGGGGTAGGGTGGAATTGACTAGAAGAATATAAATCCAGATGGAGTAACATATCAGCGACATTACGTTTGAAAATCACACCAAACTTTCAATTTGTAGTGTGGGAAACAGTGCTCTTCTCGGTAGACGGTGACCCGGCGTTCGCGGCACATGGTTCATCCAACTAGGGGTTGCGGCGTTGTATGTATTCCTTCGGAGAATTACCTTCTGCTCCATCACATTATTTGTTGATTCCAGCCTAGTCCAGTTACGGACACCGGAAGTCACACGCACTCATGGGATAGCTTTTCGAGAGCTCTCCATTCACTCGCACACGCCCACAATTGTGTGATTACAAATATCATGTGTTATTCACGAGCTTCTGGGACACATCCTATCGTGCAGGTGTGTTGAGAAGAACGAATCAGTCAACAGAATCTCAGGAAGAAACATTTATCAAGGGCGCCTATTCACCTGTCGTTCCTTACATCTGACGGAGTGTGGTCCACACAACCCCTTCCCAGCCTGAATTCTTCACGTATCATCAAAAGACGATGCAAAGTGAGCAATGCAGACGACTTATTTAAAAAGGGGGTCAAACTAATTCCTCTATGATTGCCACACTCACTATGAATACCCTTTTTCAAGGTGGGCGCCACTATCGACTGACCCCAGTTGGTTAGGATAGATAGGGGCAAATAGAACCACTCAGCTGTAACACCCTTTCAGCGCCTAACTGTCATGCGTCCTGAAGGAAGTAGGAGTCCTGGGATACCACCAGGTTACCCAAGCCTAGGCAATGGAAGTCGAGAGGTAGGAGTAGGGTTCGAACCACGGATCTTCCGGCCAGTAATTCGCGCTCTAATCACTTAAGCCATCTCACCACCTACGGGCAAATAAGTTAGGTAGTTGCCGACTGATACTTTCACTCACATCTTCAAACAGTGCGAGACCAGCTCAGCAGGACCAGAAGATCGGTGACACTTGAAGGTGAGAATGTATTCGCCTACTTACGGAGCCGTCGGAGTTTCCAAGTTGATTGTCCAGAGCTCCGTCCCAGGTTGATAATTTGACAGAGCAACTGCAAGTAGTCAGTTGAATTCCTGTGGAAATCGATAGCCCTAAGAGGCCAGACATTATCTTTCGTAAAAATTAGAGTCGCTTTTATTAGTGATGATATTGCTCACCAGAGGCCTTTTTGGGCCTACTAGACATACGGTCAGAGTTTCTCACTTCCTCTTTCTCCTCAACTTTCTCGATCCAGCAGGCTTTCTGGTCTGCACAGATGCCCTTTTTCACCTGACATTAACCGGTTCATCGAATTGTATCGTACTCTCGATTCGGAGGAATAAGTGTTTGAGGTTCGAGTAAGTTTACAGCTTTGCTCGACATCGATTGCTTGGATCTAGTTGGTTGCGCCGTCCCCCAAGCAGAGCGACCTGGATCTTGCAAGGCTACGGGCAATGAGTTTCAGTAAGAGTCAACCTCAGCGGATGCAGGTAGATAGCGGACCGATATTTTAGTATTTGAGAATGGGTCTACGGACAATGAGGTAGAGAGAAAAACGAATATTCGAAAGAGGAATAAGGGAAGCGTCAATGGTAGCCTGTTTTTGCTTACCAGCCATCAGCCCCGGCTGATGGCGCCACGCGACGGCCGATCTGCCTTGGTTGTACGTGGATTGGAATACTGCCAGGGTGTCCAAAAGGACGATTAGGGTCCTCAACTGAAGACTCTGGCTCATAAGCCTAACCACATGGCATCAGTGAGTGGCCAAAGCAGTCAACGCCTTTTATAGCAAGTCGTCGCACATACTTCACCTCCCGATCTGCAGGATCAGGAGGCTGAAATGAGGCCCTGTGAGTGCCACATATACACTCCTCACTATGCCACGGGATTCAGTCTCTTCGTAGCAGTACGCATACATTAACAAGGTCCTATATTTAGCTTTTTAGAACCGACTGCAAATGCCACTTGCACTGTCTTATTACATCGAACGTTAGTACGGATTTGCCGTGTCCCAAAGTGATTGAACTGCACTGGAAGAGTCAGAAACATAAATGTGGACGCGTTTCTCAACCGACATGAACTAAGTAGTAAATGGTAAGTTGTCAGCAATACTGTCCAAAAGGTTCGAATCGTAAAGTGATAGCCGTTTTGTCTGAGCACTGTTTTATGGTGGCTTATCAGTCAGGTTAGAAATGGCCGATCTTCTATAAGGATGGTTTTCCAGCCCACGAAACTGTCGAATGATATTGTGGTCCGATCACCTAACCAGTAATCAGTTAGACTCGAACTCGAACTAATGAGCTGTCAAGTTAGGGCTTTTGCCGAATCGAATTTGCGATATATGCTCACTCAGTTCATCCGGTTGAACAAGTAACGTAACACGAACACCAAACAAACGCCAGACACCGCTACAAAAACGCTCAGTTGGGCATACTGACACGCCTGCTGCGAGGTGTCATTTGTTCCGATCTCCATATCGAAAAAACGGGTTGCTGATCCACAGGCATCCAAGCGACAAGCTAAAATGACCATAATACGCAACCTCATGGACGCAGTTGTCCTAGAACCCAGAAATGCCTACACTGGTGCAGCCATTGAGAGTTAATCGCCAGATGCTCGAACCACTGTCGTTTGTTGAGTTGTCGACACACAAGTTTGGACACGATGTTTGGAACTATTAGTGGAACTGTTAGTATTCACCCCGAGGGTCACATATGGTATATGAGTGGTACTCAGAAAAACTTGATATCTTCAGTCATACGGGTCACCAACAAGACCAAGATGTGCGGTTATTCACTGGATGCATTTGGGACCATCTATCCATAAGGCTGTCGTGAAAATGGATCAATTGGAAAAAACGGCTTTCGCATTTCAGGATAAGCATCAGAAAGAACGGACGAAATGCTGTGACATTAGACTAGCACACACAAGGCGAAAAGGCCATCTGGATAAGAGTAGGGTTCAGCGAAACTAGTAATCGCTTCCTTCCTAAAAGCCGCCGATTGCACAATATCATGTTTAAACGGTCTGTTCCGAACAGTCTCTCCGACATCAATGGCAGATAGAGACTGCTTTAGATCGGCCGAGATTCAACTTGTACGTTGGTTGGGTTTCGACAAACAATTTAGTTCCATGGAATGGATTTATCGGCATTTCGCATCCGCCAGTAAAGTCACAAACGCGATCATAATACCAGTCATCGTTTCAATTCGGAATTTGTCAGCACTGTGGAATGTTCGAGAGAAAAACTGTGCGGCTTTGTGATGAGTTCGCATGTCATACAACGGACGAGTTTAAGTGAACCATTGCGGTCGGCTTAGAGAAACTGTATCTGGGCACCATCTGGACTTTGACAGAAGCGTTCCCGGGATATGGGGAATGTCGAATTTCTCAGCGTATCGATGCTCATGGCTGTTCACTCAAAGTGACCTCAATAGTCCTCAGGCTGGCCGCGCGAAGCAAATATGATAAACTGAGGTTTATTACTAAATGTTCTGTATTAAAAATGCATTAAGCCCTTCCACACTCAACTTGAATCGATTGGGTTAAACGATACGATCTCACGCTACTACCAATCCATAAGTAGCATGAGAACACCTGACAAGTTGCACCATCCTTTCGTCTTATGGGTCCCCACGTGAGCAGCCGGGTGATACGTAACTACGTGATTTGAAACGCGTGAGTGAAGGGTGGGTGGAGATTAATCCTCATTATCATCATAGACAGCATGACATCAGTGTTCAACACCAGTGCTTCACTGCCGTACAACCATGATTTAACTGAAGAAAAGAATAAAGGCGGACGGGGAAGGGACTTAGTGCTAGCTTACCACAATCATTCCGAGGTGCCTATACCTCCAGACATTCATTTAGGCAATCTGGATAGTAACTGATAACAAGAACGCCACTGACATCGGTTGGCAGCCATATCTTGTAGTGTATCCAACCAGGCACAGTGAGGATCACGCGGTCCCTACCCTGGAAGGCGAGTAGCACCGACAGCACCCAAGCGTTTCGTGATCTCCTTCATACCGCTCTGCCAAGTCAAGGATTGGCAACCTCTCTGTTCACACCACTCTGAATTGGGCATGGAAAACAGCACTCTCTTCGGCAAACGATGGTCAGGCATACGCAACAAATGTCCCAACCAACGCAGCTTCTGGTGCTGGACACATTCTTCAATGGAAGTACCTGTTGCGCAACCAAAAAAGCGCTTTCTAACTACCTCATCAGGGATTTGCCGAAACCTATCCAAGATTGAGTTAATCACACCGCTGATAAGCCGTTCTTGGCCGAACGGTATAGACTGCAACCACTGGCTAGGAGACTGCTGCTTTGAAACTCCATAGATTTTCGTGGGATGCACACAGCTGATAAGTTCCAATGAGAACAAAACACCTGCACGATACCTCGTGGCTGTTCAGCAGGATAAAATCCAAGATAACATCTCCGACGGAAATCACGCTGAGAAAATCACGCATGAAAGGAGAGACACACTGACATTTCATGCACTCGACGTGAGCAACTACCAGATTCCAGGTGTTGTTTACGCAGGGGATGAAAATGAACCGCGGAAAGTCATGCCAATTTAGTGTTCCCTTTTTCAGGTACCGCATGCCTCAGTATCTCTTGGCTGTCAAATCGGCATCTGGCTAGTTACGAAGCTGACCGAATCAAGCAACCACCGAAATGAGGTGCGGAGAGTTCACATCGTCTTGTGCGGAACATATCAGTTCCGAACTACTCAAATACAAACCAACCAGTGAGTCAAGACTTCACCGATAAAAGCGGCCAAGAGCGCAAGTGCCCGGCTGAGAGTTCTATAGTCCGGACAGTATCCGGCATAAAAGACGCATCAACTTGAGTATCCTAGTTCGACATTTTCAGACTTCAGCTCTCAACAACTTCAAGAAGACAACCGCTACATATACCACTGGTACCACAAAAGACGACGTCGGCGCAATGTATAGAGAAGAAGATTCTGAGTTCTACATGCAGTGGACAGGAAAAGACTAACACATGCACAAGGTCAAGTCAAGGATTTCTGTTAGAAATCAGTGTATTTTTGTTCAAGCCCAAAGTAGAAAATTACAGACTGAAGGGATGTAAATTAGGTACGCGTCAGAAAAAGGTTGGGATAGAAGCGAAGACCAGCTTCTGTATCATCACGACACACGAGTCCCAGCTCCTCCAACGCCAAAAGACGTTCCCGTGCAAGCAGTGGGGACAGACTGACGGCGCGAGCAAGCTCGGCGGCTGTTAAATTCGAACGATCCTCGACCAACTTCATGGTGGCTTGCAGTGTCTGCTCTTCGTTTTCTGAGGCGAGATGAAGCACCTGAAATTGTGGCATGTAGTTCGAGATGGCCAATGAGTCCTTTCCGAAAAGTAACATGAACAGGTTGAGTGCCACTCGCATTATCCTAAGGAAAGTTTTAGTCCCAAAAAAATGCATATTTGGTTTTCACCAAAAACCGACCGGAATCCCAGTTAAATCTCTCATTTACGATGTTTTTCTTAACGACTTTATGAGTAGTGTAATACACCTACACAATGTTTTAGCTCGTTTATGCAATTCGGCTTTCTAACAGTCGACTGAAGCCCATTTCGATGAGAGAAAATTCACAGTCCCCACCAGACTTTCATTGTCTATGGGAACAGAAAATCTTAGACAAGATCTGGAGAGCTTAATGAACAGCGCGATTAGACAGCACTAAACGACCGTGACACCCCCCAAGAGTTACGTTATTGTCAATCAAGATGACGGCTGTAAAAATTGTGAAGGTAGCTCACCAAGAGACCGCTGGGGAACTTCTTCATTCGCAAGGGGAGCCGTTCACGTTCGAGCAGACGGCAGGCTTTGAGCACATCCTCCGGAGAGACCAATTGCATCCCCAGAGCACGGTTGATGCGGCAATAGGCAGAAGCTAGATCGATGCACCCTGCACCCATATGACGATACTTTGACCGCGGTCCATTCTCCATCTCAGACAGGATCGGGGTGAGTAGGTTGGATATTTGGTGCGCTAGCTGAGTGTGAAACGAACCAAAGCCAACAGTCAGGCTCGTTCGCGCCGTACCACTTCTTTCCTCATCGTCCTCAACGCCCATAGATAACATGGTTGCACGAAGTTCTGCCGTTTCATCGTTGGTTAGTTCACCACCCTGGGAAAAGTAGATCATCGGAACTTTGCACAACGCAAATATAAACTTTAAAAAAGACCTAACCCGCCAATCATGCCGTACATATACATTATTTGAGCACTGAATAGCTCTGACCGCGACAAATGAACTCGGCTTGAACGAGTAACATCAAAATTCACTTTTACGCCGGTCCTATTCGGTCAAACTGCTTCACGTTGCCGCACCATTTTACTCAAATTCATTCGACGGAATCAGTCAAAACGAAGAACTTGCGGTAACACTCACCTTAGCTTCGCGTGTATGATGGGCCAAGGTGTGGCTGAGTGTGACCATTTCTTTTGCCTGAGAAATTAGTTTGTTCAGATCCTCAAAAGCTCCTTCGAGGCGTGCATCTGTAGCGTGTGCACGAGCTGCTTGCTGCCTCTCAATGCCAGCGATTCCCGGGCCACCATGGATTCGAGCGGATGCAACTGTTACAGCCCACGGTTTCGCCTATGAACACACAGAGAGAGAAAACGGAAGGGAATTTTTCTGGCCAAAATAGGATAGAAAATCAAAGGGTGAGCAGCGACAGCAAACTTGACAGGTGGTGATAATAACTAAGGATCAAGAGAAGCGCAACGCTACAGCATACTGCACAACCCTGAACGGATCGGTCAAACACAAGCTAATTCCCCAAAGAGCATTAGTGACAGCCAAAGGGTATTTCCAACAGGACGACAGATAAATTACGCGTAAAACGTTGTACAATGATTCTCACCTTCAATGTTTCTTCCAAAGCAGTCCAGAAATGCTTTTCACCGCCCGCTGCAAATCCAAGTTTAATGTGATCCTCCGATGAGCTACTCACTACTGCATACGCATCTCCACCAGTATTCTTCCTCCAGCGATCGATCCATGGCAGGGTGTGTGGCAGTGCCAACAGGGCAGTCTCCAGGGCGGGTTGAGTTAGAAGATGGAGCACAATCTTTGGTGTTCGATTTCGCAAAAACCCACCACCACCAGCTTCCATGGTCGCATTTAGAACGGCGACCAGTGGGAGGGCAATGAACGATTCGCCTGAATTCGGTCTAGCGACCCACAAAAGACGATGTGTGGTTAAACTCAGCAATCCATTGTCGAACCCGATTCGTTTCCCTCCATCATAGAGACACACACCGTTTTGCTGGACAACTACAGATTCTTCAGCTGGTCCAACACCAACCCTGCGCTGGAAATCATCTGAGCACCAACGGACGCGATCCATGCTTCAACGGTTGGGCAGGTTCGAAACTAGGCGCGTTCAATGACAGACAGAATCCCGATTAGGATTGTCATATAAAAAACAGCAGATCGATAATTGACCAATAAAGACTCGAAACAATGACCATACAACCACACTGCAGTTAAAAAAATTATCTTGTGTCTTCAACACCGGTCGAGTCGATGCTTTGCAGGGTATTAGTAAGTTATGTGCTGTTTTTGTTTAATTCCTGACCACCGCATGCTGCGGCAAGTTTAAAATTCCTTGTTACATGGGGCACTGAAATAAGTCGATACAGGTATCGCTTAAAAAGTTTTCAGCGTCGTACATTTCCATCCATAATGTCAGACTATGGGTGTCTGAAGACGACAGTACCTCGAAAAGTTTGAGAGACAGGCATCAAGCCCCTTTGCTGCACACGCTTTTATTCCAATTTGTTTTTTATTTGAAAACAAAGACTCGGCATCACTGAAACAGTAGCGTCAAGACACGGAGAACTCACACTTCCGTGCTGCCAAAAGCGTTCTGCCGTAAAATGATCTACACGTGTGAGCAACAGAGGCTTATGGTGACCCAACGAAAAAAAGCCTGTTAGTCGAGTTTTGCCTAATGTTCAAATAGCTCTGCTGGGGTTACTCCTTTGAAAAACTACAAACAATGAGTTCCCCTCATTCATTTTATCAATGAGGGAGGTAATAAAGGTTGTCAACGATCGATAATACCTTTTCATCTTCTCAAACACTGTTTCACATCATAATTATGAATGAGCTGGAGGTAGATCAGTAGTCAAGGCACGAACTTGCTGATCCGTAGGTCCATGGTTCGAACCCAGCCTCTGCATCCCGACTGCTCCCGTCTAGGGTTTGGCAACCTGGCAGTATTTTGGCCCCCTTGCCTCTTTCGGGTGGTATGGCAGCTAAGCACCACAAGAGTGTCACCGTTGAACGATAATTATGAACCAAACAATAAGACAGTCCAAATCAATCATGAGAAATTGCTGGCTTGAGTCAAAATATTCAAGATGCAGAAGCCGAGGCGGTACGGTACAAAGCATCACTGACAGTTATAACAATTTCAGATTACCACTGCAAAGTAGAACTCTGGACACTGTTCTAGGGTGGCCTCAGTTGCCCGCAATATAATTGATTCCATTCCACTGTTTAACTTATACCGTTGCAGATGAAGATAGGGAGATAAAATTTCGGCAGATTGTAACTTTTGTCTCCAACTGGCCTACACCTGGCTTGGCGCAGATTAGGACAAACCGGCTGAAAGCCTTCGGACAAAATACATGGTCCAAGCCACGGACCGTTCCAGGAGCCTCAGCTAGTTCATCATTCCGAGGTCTTAGGATCACTTTCCGACAACTTATCCAGTAGTCAAACCCACAGACATAAAATACACCTTCATAACCCACATCCTCAGTAGTAAGAACACCAAGCTGTCGCTCTACACATTACTTCGCCAGATATGTGCATTTGTTTCCGAAGGAAACCGGACCGCAGGCCTTAAAGCTGTGTCTAGCTATCCAATTGAGCGACGGAGCTATAATGGTGGATTCGAACTAAGTTGGTTAACTCTGGAGAATGAGAGCGGCGAGGACAGTCTAGTGACATAAGCCTAAGCACGAACTGTTATCTCTCAAAAAGATAGGAAGAAAATCGTTCTTTTGCATGGAGACTTCCGGCTAAAAACAAATCAGTGCCCTGGTTGGGCGCCATCATGGTTGTAGGCACCAATGCTGTGACCATTATGCCCGAGGATTTCAAGTCTTCCCCCGATTTTAGCCATATAAAAGGGCTCGCATTGGCCCTCAATATTTTTCCAGGCTCGGTGAACCTTTACGCGCTAACCAGTAAAACCCATTTTCATGCCATCCTGAGCGTGAACCTCGGGGTAGTTGCTATGGTAGCCCACCAGCGTGGACGTGTATACATTAAATACCAAAGTTGCAATTGTACCATGCCATCTGTATGGGGTCAAAGGTGTCATCCCCATTAGGAAGAATCGACTCTCGTAGTAAACAAGAGCGACCCACTCAAAGTATGATCGACGTTTTGAAATGAGGAATCCTCGTTTCTATGGAAGAATCATCTGAAATGTGGAGGCGTTGAAGGGGAACAGATTATCCGAGCAGCTACCAGAAAAAATATAGTATGATCGCCAAAACAAAAAAAACGAAAAAGAGCTTCGGAAAATTGCACGAAAATCTCCGAACCCAAGCAGTCAACCGCTGGAACGAGCCAACGAAACATCCAACATCACATGAGAACAGATCGGAATAACTTACTCGGAACGTAATAGGTCGTTCAACTTGAAACGTTGATCATGTAAAGCACCATTTTGAATAGAAATACACTCATCCGAGGTAACCGGTTATCGCTACCTTCAGCTTTTAACGGACGTGTCACGTGTTCTGAAATAAGACAAACTACACGAGGTTAGTTTGGCAACAAAAATTCAAGTAGTCAACAGGTCTGAGGGTCAATTTTTAGCATACCGTTATAAAGCAGCACGTATAACCCACACCACAGAAACTACGAGTGATGCAAATGCTCACTCTGAAAGTAAGGATCCAACGTAATCAAGGTCCTGAATAACCCTATTACAGGGCCAAGCATTCATGATTGTGTATTTCATTGGACTGTACCAGATGAGGAGTTCCAAGGTCATACTTCTCTCGGACAATCAACCTTAACCTGCCCCAATGCTAAGGAGTTTCTAAAGCAGTTTCCTCCAATCGTGGTACACTCGGTTTCCTGTCCACCTCACAGGGGGTGTCCACACCCCACGCTCATATGACCAGATGGTTCATCAGTGGGCTGGGTATTTCATGCTGATACAGCTACGAAGCCCTGCGCAGCAAGCCTGTCGGCCTACCCACCGACTTCAGACGCCTGAGAATGATAACCGGCTGATGTAACATCCTAGCTTCCATGCTAATCGAAAAAAGCATGAAGGTTGAGATACTGCCGGGTTTCCCAAGCCTAGGCAGAGGAAGCTGAGGGGCAGAGGTCGGTTTCGAACCACGGACCTTCTGGTCAGTAAATCCGCGTTATACCCATTGAGCCATCAAACAGAGTTTAACTGAAATGAACATGAGATCCTCGAGGATACAGTACAACTAGTCTCCCCAGCGTAAATCAGCCTTTTACCGAAGCAGTACTTTCAGCCTTTGTTAATTAGAGAATAGCTAGGAGGAACCATTCAACGCTGAGTCACGTAATGCGGACTGCGCGAGCGAAGAACGATCGGGCCTATATCCAGTCCGGGTTCCAGTGAATCACGCTGCCGAGTAGTCTTCATTCGTGGCCACTAATCGGAAGGCAGCGGGTTGGAATGTGCACTGCTGATGTCCCCAAACAAATAAAAGAAACACATGTACGTAACTTCCTGAGACAACACGTGAACACCTCTCTTGCCGGAGCATCGTTAGACTCGTTGGTTCAGACAAAAGCTCGATCACGTAATGGAGACTGGTCACTTGACTACCAATGAAAAGAGGGAAGCCCTTCGCTGCGAAGTTATTTATTGGCAAACTAACCAATTAAAAGCCATCAGACATGAAGGTAAACATCTCGTTTGCACAGAGTATTTGAAAAGTGAACATTCTCATGCGTTCCCTAGAACTTTCCTGGACATTCACTGACTATTGAACAATAGCGAATGAACACTGTGGAGTGGCCCCACAATCTTCGTAATAATCTTCACTTTCTATTGGATGCGGGGGTGGAGCCTGGACATCAGACCAGAGACTACTCGCACGTTTCATCAGTAGTGTACACCACTACACCATTATCGTCATGTGACACGAATTGGTCTAGTCGCTTGACAGCCCTATAGACTGTCTCATAGCATCCAATTACACGCAATTTGGGTTTCGCTGACAACCAATCGTCCGTAATAATCTTCACCTTCCATTGGATGCGAGGGCGGACCAGAGACTACTCGCATGCTTCATCAGTATTATACACTGTTACAATAGTGTCGATCCAACGGCGTGGCATTATACACTGTTACAATAGTATCGATTGAACGGCATTGCTTGACTACAGCCGAAACAGTCGCAGTGCGATTGTGAAATCCGACACTATGCTGCCAAAAACGATTTGCACGAACGCTGAGTATGCATTCGTCATGTGATACGAATCGGTCCAGTCGCTCAACAGCCCTCCAGACTGTCTCATGGCATCCAATTACACGCTATTTGGGTTTCACTGACAACCAATCGTCCGTGTTTTCTAATTTGGTGACAAACCTTAGCTGCCTATTTCATTACTTATCGCTTGTATTAACCATTAGATATGTATTGATCTGACGATGAGAGCCTAAAAGCATTAGTGCTCATCACCGTGTTCCTGTTGAAACTGTGGGAATATTCAAGTAGATGTACGGTGCGTGTGGGACTTTCAGCACTGACTAACTTCACTTCGTCGTCGAAATCTAAGTCGGTGCTTAGAAATCTCTCCACCATTTACAGAAAAAAATGTTTGAATAGAGCCACCATCAAGATCGTTGGCCCCAGATGATATCAGTGGCTCGGCACTGATCACTGTCCGGCGGTTGGACCCGTAAGATATCCTGAAGCGATTAAGCCCACCTATCAAAGTAGTACAACAGCGTGCAGTTGGCACATGCAAACATCTATGATAAGGCAGAAGCGAGAACCGCAGAAACGAATGAATGGCCATCTGTCGTACGAAGGCATGACAAGTCTGCCATCCACTGGTACCTTGGCTCCTTATACACCGAAATGAACAGGCTAGACATCATGTGGATATTTTTCTCTCCATTACCGGTCAGAACCACTTCAGCTTTGCTCCCGACTTTAAACCAACAAGCTAAACCGAATAATCAACGGTTTCGTTTCTTATCAGAATCAGTCAAAAACTATGGGGACGAAAGGACTGTTCTGACCATGCAGCAAACATTGGGCGGCTTCGACACCTCGAGATAGAAATCACTGTAGAAAGGCTGCAGTTTCGCCCCGTTGGCCTTTGCAAAGAATGTTTGTGAAGGCACCAACCTCCTTACTTTGTGGCAACTATTACAAATACAGGGGTCAGCCAAATGCTTTGAGCAAGCAACAAGAAACAACAGGCTCTCCTCTTTAGGTTCTTCTAACCATCAAGTTCCCCGCTTTATGGTCCGTGGAAGGAGATTCATACTAATAAGGGGGACACTCGAGTCCATTCGAACGAGCGGCAATAACTACAGCAGAAACCGGGCTGCTCATAATATGGTGAAATTTCGTCTGTACATAGAACATGGGAAGTTACATGATCCAAAGTAGTTTGGGCGAAAGACGTATGGAATATGTAGATTAAAATGGATTTGAAAGATAGGTATCAGAGTGACCAGCCGGAGAGTGAATGGAAACTTCGCACTCCGAAATGGATGTTGTCATGAAGCCAATACGGCTGTCCGCGTTGAACGAGACCGGTCTGTGGTTGGTTGCCGATCTGAAACAAGGAATACGATAAGAATGTGATTGGCGTGTTCAAAACAATCTCTGTGATGAACTGACATTCGCTTCCAACCAACATATCCTTGGGGTCCAACTAGATAGCGCAGCTTGCCAGGTTAAGCCAGTAGCTGGCCAGCATGTCGGGTGAGGGCCTATGAGGAAAAGCGCAGCGATCACTCACGAAATCAGGCGTCAAACACTCAAATCACGTAACAATTCCTGCCCCACTTTCAACCCGTCCACTTTTGTTTACGCGGCTATCACCTGCTTCATAAGCCAGGCTAACCAGGCGTAACCACTCAAATTACGTAACAATTCCTGCCCCACTTTCAACCCGTCCACTTTTGTTTACGCGGCTATCACCTGCTTCATAAGCCAGGCTTACGAACTTCAACCACATCGTGTTCGTGCAATTAAAAAACACGAATGGACACCTTTCTCTTCATACTGCACACAATAAATAGGCATAAACTTGGCCCAAACTCGGCACACAGTTCAAAAAATCGTTCAGCTGTAGCACCCTTTCGGTGCCTAGCTGCCATGTTATCAGAAGGAGGCACAAGGGCTGCGATACGGCCAGGTTGCAGAAGCCTAGGCAGAGGAAGTCGAGAGACAGGGGTCGGGTTCGAACCACGGACCTTCCGGTCAGTAAATTCGCGCGCTCCAACCACTGAACGATCTCGCGCACAGGACAGGAAGTCAACCGAGTTCAACAAGTGTCCACGGACAACTACGGAGCCACACTGCAGAGAAGACATGTCCCGCATCCGGAACTTTACTCAGAAACTCTCAACAGTTGTCCTGGAACAAGAAGTCACTTTTTGGCGCACTCCCTTCATGCACCGCACTTATTTTTATCAAGTGAGTATGACTTGAGTAATCATCATTCTGGTAAAAACAGACATTTGTTAGTGCTTGTCACCTTCTGATAATCAACCTCATTACGTTGCAACCAGATCACTAACAAAAGCCTCCACGCCCAGTTAACAGGACTCAGTAATGACTGTAAACCTCGTGTCACAAACCAAATTTTACTTAATATGGCAACGAACTCAATTGGAACATTGTTGTGGGAGCGCATCTAATTAGTACTCATCCTCATAAGAACGACAGTTGCCATCAAGGACGCGACAGAGCTGTGAGCGTCGAAGAACGAATGGTTGTATGTGAGGGGCCTGGATAGTCCTTGCCGTGACGACTGGTCAGGGTAGAAAAAATATGGATTATCCAATTGAATTAGGATCATTGCAATGAACATCCGGTCACCTGTTCTGCCACAGGTGCACTATCGGTTAAAAACTGTCATCTGCAATATAACAGCCGAGAACTCAAAAAGGGACGTCCCACACATTTCTCTAAACTTTCGTCATCACAAGACTGTTATTGGATTAGTAATACAAGGTGGTTGTGGGCAAGAAACACATACAGTTGTTGAGTTGAGGAAACGAAGTGAATTATTGTGCCTAGAATCAAACTGACTTTCGAAATAGACAGTTAATACGGACCAGAGCATTTGATCCTAGTGTTGGACGAATCCGGCGGCTCAGTTGAACTTCTAGAGGATAGTGAGTGCAGGTGTTTTTGAAGGTCACTTCATTCCCCCGATCGATTGAACTTCTAACCTCTAGAGCCACTCAGTATTGAAACCACCCATGGATATGCATAACTATCAGACCAAGCGAATGAGGCAGTCCCCTACGAACAATCACTCATCACTGACAGCTGTAATAACCGCGTACTCGTCGTACAGTGGTTGTATCTGCCGCAGTTTCGTTCACCGATGATTTGGGGAGGGGGGTAGGTAGCTGCGCATTGCAGGTGGGAGATGATAAATCGGTGCACAAATCCAGCATTGTCAATGGGCTGTCAAGTGGGGGGTTGGGAAAGGAGCTATGGATTGAAGGCAATAGCTTGGATGCATGAACGCCATTGAGGGCGCGACTGGGCCATGTCTGATAATGTCTCTAGCCATTGATATGGCCCGTCTCGGGGTCCCCATCCAGGAAGACGGCAGTGACCAGCGCAGCTGAGTTTGCTGGTAATGGCTTTCATACTTCGCTGCCAAGTCATTGTTTGACCGCCTCTGGCTCTCTTCCACCCTTCACATGGTTGGGCGAAAAGAGCCCTTCGAGGAAGTCGGTCGACTGGCATACGCAGCACGTGGCCAAACCAGCGCGACCTATGCAGTGTGATCACCAGTGTGTCCAATCGTTATTCAGTTGACAAATAATCCAGGCGGTCATGTGACTGTCTCATCGGAGTAACCATCTTCCCAATCACGCAACACAGTTCTAGAAGAAATGGTGGTGTATCGGAAAGAAAAGTGTCTCACAACCCACTGAATTTAAAAGAGCCACACCATAAGGTCCTCCTTCTTCTTTGGACAGTGGAAATTTGTTCTTCCAGGACACACAAGTTTCCGTGAGGAAGTATAGCGAAAACGTTAGCTAAGTTTGTGTGGCCTATCGCCGGGTGGATCGATAGTAAAGCAGTTTCTGGCTACCGCTGATCCCATAAGCTCACGTTTCGTGACTACACAATAGTCGCACACGAAATGTGAGGCGTACCTTCGTCCGCCACTGTAGGGAGTTTGTGGGTCGGTGCTTCCGGAAGTTGCTCGCCCAAAGTTGCTACGAGCTTGTCCAATTCGGATTCCGCAATCTCGATGTCTTTCGAAGTCAATGAGCCTGAGATGAGTGCATCGATCTCCTGAATCAAACAAAGGTGGACAAAAAGTCGAGTAGAAACCATACTGAGGACATCAAATATCTTGTTGGCTAAAATGAACATACGCAGCAGATAAACTGCTGGTAGATAAACTTGGATGTTTTATGCATCCCAGACACCTTTTGAAGCAAATTTAGAATTCCGATTATTTAAAACACGTAGACAGCGATTGCTCCTCACTGAATGATGCTCATTAGGGTATTGTAACCGAGTATTTTCCGTCAAGTAAAATGTACTTGAATGCCGCTCAGTTGTTCATTGACAAAAATGAACTAAGCTGTCACAAGCTATCAGACACAAAAATAAAGAGAACGCCTGTTCGGAATTTATGAAAAAGTCCTTCTGAGCTATCCTGGGAGTTGTTTGAATATTTAACATTAACGAACCAAGACTGTTAACTTGTTCAATAATTTCCAGATCACCCTTCCATCAAATGTAGGGGCGGTCTTTTACACCAATTGACCAGATGCTACTCGAGCGTTCCATTAGTAGTGTAAGCCATTAAGCCGTTTGCTGTTTTGTTTTCGGGAACAGTGTAGCCGATTAGGCAAATTAACGTTAGCCGTTGTAATTATGAGTACGGGAACTTACTGTCTTGAGAGAATATACTACTGAAGACGCTTCAACCTCTTGTCTGCCTCGTATTTCTTGCAGCTGACTAGGTAGGCTTAGTTCCGAGCTTCCATTAACCTAATGTTCTATCCGAACACCAAGTTATATGAAATTGACGAAACACATTTATTATCAAATTAAGTTAGTCTTTTAGCAGGAGACTGTACAAAGTTCGCCTCATGCCTCAGTTGGCACGAGCCATCAAAGTATGTTTTCCGGACATAACCTACTACCTATAAAGGTTGCGAACGAGATCGAACAAAAGTGTTCATGCCAGTGGAGTGGCCGCCGAAGGAAACGTACGCTGCAGAAGAGTTGCACTGAATATTCCGAACATCCATCATTGTTACCCGACACTTGCGAAACCCAGCCGGTGCGCATCTCGGACACTCACGCACACTCCCCGAGCCAATCGCCAGGCTCGGAGAACACATCAACAGAGAACGGAGACCACCAACACATCAGAAGAACATCAACCAATATCCCTCCACATTTCTAGCATGAACTCTCAACGGTTGAACAACGGTCGTTAGATCAGGAGGCTAGTGCATCTGGAGCACCCAAGCCTAACTTCTCCCCATTAAATGCTTTCCATGAGATTTATCAGAGGCGAGCTTTGCTTGCTATCTTATAACGTTTTCAATATAGTTGTTCTTACCATCGTTGTTGTGCAAGGAACTTCATCCATTTTTGTACTCGCAATGTGGTGTTGATCGTGGAGATTGTTTGACTAGCTGCGTTCAGAGATCTAGAGAGAGTGGTATTCGTAACTTAGATGCACTGATCACTTGACAGAATGAAGTATCATTCACCACATTCCACATCTCTTATGAAGCGAATTTGGACTGAGGGAGAGATCTTTCTGATTCCTCGCAAGCCTACGTTGCTGCGAGTTCAAAAAATCGCGTGAAAGTCTAAAGTCCACCAAACGACAGCGGTTTGACTAGCCTATTAACAATTCAGTTGCTGGCTGAAAATTGAGTCTCATAACATCATGTGCGGAGATAAGGGTACGTAGGAAAATCCCACGGAATTTTAATAATCGGCATCAAAAATTGGCTGATAAACAAGAGAAGGACGATCCCACTCAAATAGTAGTGCAGCATTACATAACTCCATACTGTGTTGATTCCTGTGAACAAGCGACAACCACCGGTTATTTTCTCTCATCGTTCAGCTACTCATGAGTAGCATGAGTTACACCTGCTCACCATTACGCCTTTTTGCTCCCCTGCTGCTCGTTCGTTCCTCCCTTAGATCCCACTTAAGGTTTGCGTACGCTCCAGCTACTGGTGTCGAGAACCGGTCGCTCGTCTGTCTTCGCTTGCAGTTTCGTGCCAACTCCACCTATTTTCGAGTGTCTGCCCTGACGAGAAAATGGGATTGAATGCAGATCACAGGCAAGCGCGTTATCCACTGAACCAGCCCGACCGACCAGGCAGCTCTATTTTGTACTACCTTTGTACTGCATCTTACCTGATCGCTTTAATAGGGCCTAGTAGCACATTTCAATTTTGATTCGTGGCACATGCTGCTTTGTTCAACTCTCAACTAAAGACTGAAGAGGTCCCTTAGATCCCACTTAAGGTTTGCGTACGCTCCAGCTACTGGTGTCGAGAACCGGTCGCTCGTCTGTCTTCGCTTGCAGTTTCGTGCCAACTCCACCTATTTTCGAGTGTCTGCCCTGACGAGAAAATGGGATTGAATGCAGATCACAGGCAAGCGCGTTATCCACTGAACCAGCCCGACCGACCAGGCAGCTCTATTTTGTACTACCTTTGTACTGCATCTTACCTGATCGCTTTAATAGGGCCTAGTAGCACATTTCAATTTTGATTCGTGGCACATGCTGCTTTGTTCAACTCTCAACTAAAGACTGAAGAGTTTATTCTGTTTAATCTGTGCCAAACTCATCCAGTGCCTGTTTTTCCAGGGAGTTTCCGTCTCCTTTTGACTCGGAAATACCTCCCAAAAGCGCTGCCTGCCTTCCATGTCGTTACCCTTGTATGGTGCCTATTTACACTGTCCGACTGCTCTTATGCGTACGTTTGTACACCATTCGGTAGTCACTCGCTACCGCTTCCAGAAAGCCTCTTTTTCTGCTCCTACCTATTGAGCTTTTGTTCACTGTACGTTCTACTTCATTCACGATGTTTATTAACCCATTCGATCATATAAACAGCTATAAATACGGTATCTACTGACCTCATACGTCACTTTCTACCGCTCGGTACCTAATGAATATCAACTGTGTATAGTCCAATAGCTCTAATCGTCTTATAAAATCCTGGGCAGCCCGGAGCTTACGTCACATTAGTGAGAAGCAAGTGTGTTTTAGCAAAGATGCGATTGGATCTCGATAAACTCAACCACATGGGAGATTTTTTCCACATGGGACTCCTTAGATAAGACCAGAGAGAGCTGGCGCGCGACTTTGTGGTTTAAACAAAATTTCGCACACAACTGGAATTCATCAACTGCGCAAACAGGTCGACGGACAAATGGCCCCACACGCCTAACTGACGAGTCCCGCACAGGATGATGTTCATGAGACCGATCTGCTCAAATTTGTACCGGAATATCCATTAGAACCCAAGCCCATGAGTTGGTAAGCATCGGGTACTTCGAGGGGATCGAGGACTACTCAAATGGCTAACTCCATGCTCAGATCAGAAGTGAGCTCTACAAGGAGAGCGGAAACTGTGGACCTCATAGGATGATAGTGGAACAGGGCAGAAACAAAAACGGTAGTGACTTACCTCTTGATAAGCTTGAGCCTCCCGTGTCTCGTCCATGATCTGTTCCACATTTTCCAAAGACATAACCTCGTGAATCCGTTTGAGCGCCTGATTACCAGAATCCAGCCGATTCACCACCTCCATTTGAACTTGAGCGAATTCAATATCGTTCACCAATTGTTCTATGTTGTTCAATTGCTTGTTAGTTTGATCAAGCAATTTGTCGAAATAACGCTTCTTCTTCAATAGAAGCAGCGCCTTTCTGAGAAACGTTACCGGTCCAGCAGATAAGCGAAATGAGATGGGAGAGTAAGTTTAAAATTCGGCTTGCGCACAAAATGCTGCTGCAATCATAAAACCTAATTCTTTCACAAGATTGTGTCCTGCTTAATGCATGTTTTCTTGTCATTGTATACTGAAGGTAAAATAACTGAACGGCTTCAGGAAACCAGCTAATTCCACCGCTGTTACATCAATGAAAAAGTTTGGCAAACATAATTGTAAGGCGATGAGGCAATCCTAGCAAGATCTCACTCCATCAATATTGCCACCTTATTTCAGCGACAATGCGAGTGGTGATTTTATGAATTTGTAAGAATAAATAAGTTACGATAAGGTTACTGATGTCGATAATGCAGGCCTCAGGCCCCTTTTTACAACGCATTCAGCCACCGCTGTCTGATGGCTTCTGATTCGTTGAAGAATGTCTGCGTGGCACCCGCAGTCTCTTACTAGGTGGCCCATTATTAGATATCTAACTAACATTTTTCACGTTAAAGCATACGCGGGGATTTGTCCTTGAAAGCTAAGCTTGTGCGGTGGTATCGCTCCGACCATCCGTACCCTGCTATCAGACTTTTAAGACAAACTTCGGTTGTGATTTCTGACCGTCTTACAGTTTGTGTTTGGGAATCCCTACATTATATCAGTATACGCGCAATCATAAGCTGCACAGATAAACTTGGGCTCATGTCACACCGGTGGTTGCCGCATTGCCCTACTCGTTCTGTGCAGGAACGCCGAGAAGTGATCAGTGATGACGTCTTTCTTTCTTCGTTGATCTCAATCCATTGATGAAGACCTCTCCCTAACCCCATCATCCATGAGAACTGATCATCGCGATGAACTGATAGACGGAGCCTATTCTAATAAGGAGGCTCTATTAGGTAACCGAAGCTCGGAAAATGTGCTTCCAGATACCATGGTATTCTCCCCAAAACCACAGCTAACAGGACTCACTCTTTCTTTCCTTCACATAGAAGCTGCTTGGCCACGGACCGCTCCCGTTCCATTTGGCGCGCTATTCGTCTGGTGTATTGATTCAGTCTGTCTCTCTGTTGCTTCAGCTGCAGTACGGCTCTGTCCTGTTCCGTTACCGCACTCTTTGCTTTGTGCTTACCGAAGATTGATCCCATGGTCAAACCGTTCAAGAATTCATACAGGTTCAACAGCGTAATTTCCCCCCAACAATTCGGTCTTCACTCTTATTGGCTTCGGCGATTGTTAAATCGGTATGATCCGACTGCCCAAGCCTCTGGATTTAACGGTAGCCCAATAAGATTGTCGTCGGATTGAGATTCTTTTCAACTGAAAGTTAAATTCAGAAATTCGGATGCACCAGGCTTATCAGGATTGTACTGCTAAAGATTTTCAGGTTTAAAAATAGCGCATGAGGGAGTATTCTACAACTGACACTGACCAAGATTCAACCACAATTATTGCACACTATGCCACTTGCAAAGCGAAAATATGTAGAGAACGAAGGATGCGGTGGCTTGCAATGCAGATATCCAAAGAATACGATGCTGCGACACCGGAAGAAACATGTATTTCCACCTATAGACCAGATAAGTTACCAGCTCCACCGCAATTATCAACAACAATGCCCGCTTTACCAAATAACAGGGGGAAAGAATGAGCTGGTTGCTGCCTTACCTAATGGCTTGGACAAGGATGCAAGCAGGAGATGAGAAAAGCCGATGATAAAAGATATCGATACTTCTAAGATAAACCAATTTAGGCAGACAACTGTTGAGTGTCACGAATGATTTACTATTGTCGCTGCAAGACATCAACCATTGGTTCATTAGGCAGATGTATTACGAATCGCATGAAGTTCTGTTGCATAAGTGTGACCCGACCCATATCTGTCGCCTTGTCATGGTGGTCGGGCTTCAGTGTTGCAATGACCCCTTAGGCTACACTGGCTGGAACTTTGTTCCACAAGGTGCAATCATGCCAGGAAGGCCAAAGGGCAGACCAAGAGCAGTGACACCCCGTACTACGAGTAATCGTGCTACGAGGCGGTCTGGGGGTAAATTCATACTGTCCTCTGCGACAGTAGTGTGAAGGCAGTAAGTTGTTTTCCCCAGGCGACCAGCATGTCCATATTTATGGAAGCAGCGATGCTGCCTTCCCCTGAGGAAGGACGGGTTAGAAAAGGTCGGCCCCAAAAACCGCACACTCCGATCGCCCAACAGTTGACTGTGACCACCGGCGTATTATCCAATACGGTCAAAATACCTTTAAAACCAAAGAGTACGGTGCTACTCAGAAGGCACCTGCTGTGCGCAGCCGCATCAGGAGTGAAACAGTAATGCCTTATTCCCTGCGCCCTAAGGTTAGGCCAACCCCCTGCAGCCAAGCAGGTCAGATTATTGAGTCGTCGGATCCGGGCAGGGTCCCAAAAGAAAACCCTTCTGCCTCACTACCTCGTGGGTCAGAATTTGAGTTAGAGGCTAGGGGCAGGGTCCCCGAACAAAACCCTACGTCATCCCACTGCCTTGTGGGTCAGACTTTTGAGTCGAAGGCTCAAGGTGGGGTACCTCAACCAAACCCCCTTCGGGAAGTATCATTTGCCCGCACAGTTCGGTGTCCACCGACATCTCTCCCCAACCCCTTCCCACCACAAAGCAAACGTCGCCAGGTAATTTGACTGTCAGTTATCTGACCAAATGGCCTTATGCTTCTCGCTGCCTATTGACAATAAACAGAATAACACCTTTCTAAATCCACGAAATCCTTTCTATACAGGAGTTTTGAGCGTCATGTCAAATTGGCAAACAGGTAATGCTTCCTGAAACCTTATACTCCCTTAAATTGGTGTATGCTGTGTCCGCATACAAGACAGAAGCATGGTTATGCACATCAGAACTCAGCTCTTTCACATTTCTCCCTGTGTGTCCGGTGACCCAGAAGCGATGACTCGTGGAATATTTGGCGTGGGAGTTGAACTCAGCCCCAGAGCTGAACGCGCTTTGCTGGATTGGATTCCAGTGGACAGTCGTCTTTGCGCCGTCCAGTTATCCAGTTCAATCAAGCTCACTGCCCCTCGGCATAAAAAGTTATGCCTGTTTGTAGTGTCGGCTTATGCCCCCACGGACTGCAGTTCTGATGTTGAGAAAGATACTTTCTATCGAGAGGGGGGCGAGATGGCTCAGTAGTTAGAGCGTGAATTAACTGACCGGAAAGTCAGTGGTTTGTAACCGACTTCTGCCTCTCGACTTCCCCTATCCAGGCTTGGGCAACCTAGCAGTATCCCAGCCCCTCCTTCGGGTGGCATGGCAGTTGGGCACCGAAAGAGTGCTACAGCTGGACGAATGTACGCTTTGATCGTACAGGCGATCTGAATGCTCAAGTAAATCGTCTGGGCTCCTCAGAATCACATTTGGGTGGTCGACTCGGAGTCGATGCTCGCCGCACAGACGACGGAGATCGACTCCTTCAGCTGTGTGCTGATCACGAACTGTTTCTGGCAAGTACGAACTTTCAACATAAACGTTCGCACCGCGTTACCTGGCGACCGTCAACTACAAACCAACCGTGGACCCAGTTGGACCACGTGGCCATCAGCCACCGGTGGAGAAAAATAAAGTAGAATATATCCGTACTAAAACGTGAGAAGGCACCAGGACCGGATGGTTTGTATCCAGCCCTCTTCAAAGAAGGCGGAGAACCCTTGGGGACCCACCTGACAAAGTTTATTGGTGCTATATGGAACGAAGAGGTGCCCGCAGAATGGGGCATGTCAACAGTTATCCCTGTGTTCAAAAAGGGTACCCGGACGCCGTGTGAAAACCACCGTGGCATCAGTCTGTTAGCTGTAGCATTGAAGGTGATCTCTGGTCTTATCCTTAGAAGGTTGAATGAACATAGGGAGAGACAGGTCCGTGACAACCAAGATGGGTCCCGTCCTGCAAGAGGATGCATTGACCATATCTTCACCCTCCGACAGATGCTGAAAGAGCGACATTGCTTCCAGCAGCCAACAATGGTCGTGTTTCTTGATCTAAAACTCTGTATGACAGTGTCTATGGAGAAAAGGTGTCCCCATAAATTCTTGACCCTCCTAAAAAGCGCTGCACGCCAATTCCCGCGACCGCGTGAAGGTCTACGGGAAGCTCTCTTCTGAGTTCATCACAGCTAGTGGTGTCAGGCAGGGCTGTTCGCTTTCGCCTTTCCTCTTCAACCTCGTCATTGATACGATCGTGAAAGACTCACTATCAGCCTCTAATGACTGTGGGGTCGAAGTGCTCCCAGAGCATCCACTCACAGACATAGGGTACGCAGATAACATAGCTCTTCTGGGATCTGACCCTGTGGTTATGCAAACAATGCTAAATAATCTAAATAATTCTGCTTCGCGGTTTGGCATGCGCTTCACACCGGTAAAGTGTAAAGTGCTGCTGCAAGACTGGGTGGGCTCAAACCCTAGCCTCATGCTTGCGGATGAGCCGACTGAGATACTGGACAAATTTGTTCACCTGGGCGGCTGTATCAGTCTCGGTGGTCTCACAAAAGATGATACTTCCATCCGGATTGGAAAGGCCAAAGCAGCTTTGCGATCCTGCGTCACCTGTGGCGCAGGCGTGACATCAGCTTACCCGTCAAGGGGGAGCTGCGGTGCGCTCTATATTGCTGTACGAACTAGAAACCTTGCCGCTGCGCGCCGAGGACCTCAAAAGACTTTCAGTGTTTGACCGTCGATGTCTTCAAAGCATTGCCCGAATTTGGTGGGAACACCGGATCAGCAATGCTGAGGTACGTCTAGTGATATTTGGAAGAAATAACCCACCTTCAATAGATGAACTGGTCACACTACATAGACTGCGCTGGCTTGGCCGTGTTGCGTATGCTAATCGACAGACTCCCTTGAAGGGTTTTTTTCGCACAACCACGTGAAGGGCTACATCAATGGTTGGAGATATGGCCAGATATGGCCCAGTTGCGCCCTCAATGGCGATCGTGCATCCAAGCCACTGCCTTCAATACACAGCTCTCTTCCTAATTCCCCCAATTAACAGTCCACTGACGATGCTGTATTTACGCACCAGCTTATCAGCTCCCGCCTCCAATGCACAGCTACCTACCCCGCCTCCCTAAATCCTCGGTGAACGAAACTGTGGCAGCTACAACCACCGTATGACAAGTATGCAGCTCTTACAGCTGGTAATGATGATGATGATGACTGGAATCAGTGCCGCTGTTCTCTTCGGATGGTGAAAATGTGATCGACGGAACCCATCTTGCTTTTCACGGATTTCTCTCCCTGTGTTCATCCAACCTTTGAAGAATAAGACCAGACTGCAACTTCGAGGCCATAGCCACCAAGGCTAATGTCACTGTGGTTTTCATGCAGTGCTCGCGTGCCGTTTATGGAGATAAGAGGGACTGTCCTATTCTGCAAGCATTTTTCCTTCGATCCAAATCGCAACAACATAGTTTGTCAGATGAGTCACTAGGGATTCTCCTCCTTCGTTGAAGAGGGCTGGATACAGACTGCCCGGTCCTGGTGCCTTCTCACGTTTCCGTATGGACGCTTAGTATTTTATTTCTCCTGACTGACGCGTTCCGTTCGTCCATATGCACTATCTCCATAGGCTGTTACGGGAGACCAGTTGGCGCTCTTGCAAGTGGATTAATGAGCCGTATTTCTACTGGTTGTTTCACTCATCGTTGCTTTCTTCTGGCCAGTCGATCGTACTAATTGGTAGAGGGCACGACTGGTCCCGGTAACAAACTCCTTCTCCATCTTCTGAGGTTTCATTGTCCATCAAAGCTCTCGGTCGTTTCTTAGGCTCCTGATTATTTGGCACTTAGGGAGATTTTAGTGCGCCGTCGTGCTTGCTGTCTGCTAGTATAGATTTACTGGCGTCCATCAGAACTAGTGATCTCCACGACATCCAGCGGTCATTTGAACGTATCGGAGAAACCGGACAGAGAGCACTGAGCACCGCTATCATAGCTCCTTTTACCTTTCGCCCTGCTACGTCCACGTGTTCGTTACTAGTGTTCGCTTACCGCAGAGAGTAGTTGATCTCGCTCAGATCGACACCGTTGAGCTATGGCATCATCATCATCATCATCGATAGCTCCTTCTTTCGCCCTGCTACGTCCACGTGTTCGTTACTAGTGTTCGCTTACCGCAGAGAGTAGTTGATCTCGCTCAGATCGACACACACCAGCTATGGCATCATCATCATCATCATCGAAAGCATGACATTAGTGTTCAACACTGATGCTTCACTGTCGTATAACCATGATCCATTTGAAAGCCTCATTGTAGATAAAAGAATAACGATGGACGG